TCCCGAGAAGGGAGTGTCCCAGAGGCCCCCAGTCTGGAAATGGAGGAGCAGCAGTGGTGCGGACTCTTCTGTCCAGTGTCGGAGTGTCGTCTCCTGTCCCTGCCTGGTCTACTGAAAATGTGTCCCCGCTCTGGAAATACCTCCCATTAACCGTGTCTCACTGAGTAAGGGCTGTGGTCTGTAGCCTTGGATTCAGGTCCCGGGTGACTTGCTGGTTAACCTCCGGGGCCCCAGCCTGTGGGGTCGGCCACAGCGTGTGCCTGGGAGAGCAGTCTGAGGACGGGCGTGGCACCAGCCCTTCTGAGCGCCACTCAGTAGCTTAACATCTTGTGGCTGTGAGTCCATGCCCAGGACGTGCCCTGGCCTGCAGCACGTCAGCAGAACACCAGGTACCAGGTGTGCGGCTTCGCTCACGTGTAGAGCCCCGCCCCGGCCGTCAGGGAGGGGGCTCGCACGGTGCTGTCCACCTGTCGCACCCGTGCTCCACCGTGTATCGGGCAGCTGGCTCGGCAGCAAAGGGGACGCCCTCCTCGACGGTCCTAACGTGGCAGTCTTGCGTCCAGAAATGAGACAGCAGCTCCTCAAATACTGTGACAATTCATTGGCTGCAGATTCTTTAACTTGTTCAAAAAAATAAATTTTGAGTTCTTGGGTATCTGAAATGGTAGGTTTCTTTTTTTGTTTGTTTGTTTTTGATTTTTTTGGTTGGTTGGTTTATTCTTCAGTTTTATTCTTCTGGCTACAGTTTCCAAAGGTGGTTAGAAATTTACTTTTCTTTTATAGTTCTTTGTTTAGTCTGCCCCCATTGCCCAGTTAAGCTGGTTGCAAAATTATTTCACGCTTACTTTTTTTTTTTTTAAGATTTTATTTATTTATATGACAGGTAGAGTTACAGTGAGAGAGAGAGACAGAGAGAAAGATCTTCCTTCCATTGGTTCACTCCCCAAGTGGCCGCAAAGGCCGGAGCTGCGCCAATCCAAAGCCAGGAGCTTCCTCCAGGTCTCCCACACGGGTGCAGGAGCTCAAGGACCTGGGCCATCCTCCACTGCCTTCCCAGGCCACAGCAGAGAGCTGGACTGGAAGAGGAGCAACCGGGACTAGAACCGGTGCCCATGTGGGATGCCGGCGCCGCAGGCAGAGGATTAACGCAGCGCACCACAGCACTGGCCTGTTTCATGCTTGCTTATTTAAAAAAAAAAACACACCTTGTACTTCGTGTGAGAGAGACATAGGTGTTCATTAAAAATACACAGAAGCAAAAACAGAAGAAACAAAACTTCACGACACAAGAAACAAGCAGTTGAGGTTGTTTTGTTTTATTTTGTTTTAAGATTTGTTTGTTTATTTGAAAAACAGAGTTACAGAGGGGCCGGCGCTGTGGCACGGCAGGTTAACACCCTGGCCTGAAGCGCCAGCATCCCAGATGGACACCGATGGGCGTCCTCCGGATGGGCGAAGTTCTGGCTGTTGTGACCACTTGGGGAGTGAACCATCGATGGAAGACCTCTCTCTCTCTTTCTGCCTCTCCTCTTTGTAACTCTTTCAAATAAATAAATAAATCTTTAAAAAAAATAAAAACAATTACAGAGGGGCAGAGGCAGAGAGAAGGTCTTCCATCCGCTGGTTCACTCCCCAAATGGCTGCATCCAAAGCCAGGAACCTGGAACTTCTTCCAGGTCTCCCACGCGGGTGCAGGGGCCCAAGGACTTGGGCCATCTTCTACTGCTTTCCCAGGCCACAGCAGGGAGCTGGATTGGAAGAGGAGCAGCCAGGAACAGAACCGGCGCCCATATGGGATGCCAGCACTGCGGGCGGCAGCTTTGCCTGCTGCACAGTTAAGTTTTGATATATGTTTGTGTGAACACACACACACACACACACGTGTGAACTGATACTTCATGTGCTCCTTTGTAGCCTGTTGTGTTCTTTACAACATGGAATGCGTATGTGTGGAGCTTCTCAGTTGAAAGGTAAGCCTGGAATATGGATAGAAATCCCGGGGCCGGCGCTGTGGCGCATCGGGTTGAAGCCCTGGCTGAAGCACTGGCATCCCATACGGATGCCAGTTCAAGACCCGGCTGCTCCTCTTCCAATCCAGCTCTCTGCTATGGCCTGGGAAAGCAGAAGATGGCCCAAGCCCTTGGGCCCCTGCCCCCACGTGAGAGACACGGAAGAAGCTCCTGGCTTCAGATCGGTGCAGCTCCAGCTGTTGTGGCCATCTGGGGAGTGAATCAGCAGATGGAAGACCTCTCTCTCTCTCTGTAACTCTGTCTTTCAAATAAATAAATCTTTAAAAAATAAAAATCCAAAGAGATGCTGGTAACAAGGAAACTGTCTGTAAATAAAAAAAAAAAAAAAAAAAAAAAATGCCACCAGCTGATTAAAAGTACAGTGAAGGTCAGCGACGCATCAGAAAATGCCAAGAGGACCAATGCAGGCCCAGATGTCGGTGTCGGACGGCCAGGACTTGGAGGCCTGAAGCGGCAGGACGGGAGAACCGTGCGCGTCTCTGCTTCCAGGGCCTCCTCGCGGCCTCCCCGAGCCCCTCCCGCTCATCTGCTCTTAGCGGGTTCTTACCCAGATGTGTGACGGCGTGCCCCTGAAGGCCTGGCCGCGCCCGCCGTCCTCCCGGTGTCCGGCTCCCTGTGCTGCCCCTGAAGGCCTGGCCGCGCCCGCCGTCCTCCCGGTGTCCGGCTCCCTGTGCTGCCCCTGAAGGCCTGGCCGCGCCCGCCGTCCTCCCGGTGTCCGGCTCCCTGTGCTGCCCCTGAAGGCCTGGCCGCGCCCGCCGTCCTCCCGGTGTCCTGGGTCTGGCACGGCCTGCGCGCCCCGTGGTCCGTCCTCTTGCTCGTTGAGAGCGTGTGTGACTTCCTTGCTCAGAGCAGGCCCTCGTTCCCCTGCGGTAGGAACCGTTCCCGAACTGCAAGGACTTGGACACGTCGACCGTCCGCGGCTCTCGTCTCTAAGGAGTGTTTCTTGACCCCCTCGCCTGGGAAAGTCGCCGACTGGTAGGAGGGCCGTGTTAGGGATCGTGGCCTTGGACGTGTCTGGAGGCCGGGCAGCTCTGCCTGTGTTGTTAGGAGTCCCCAGAAGATGGTACACGTAGCGGACGCCAGCCGCTTGCCCTTAGCACGCGGCCCGCGGGTCTCCTCCCACCGGCCGTCATTTTAAAGGTCGATTGACTTACTTGAAAGAAAGAAAACAGAAGTCTTCCATCTGCAACAGCCGGGGCTGGGCCAGGCCGAAGTGAGGAGCCAGGAGCTTCTTCCGGGACTCACACAGGGATGCAGGGGCCCGGGGACTTGGGCCTCTTCCAGTGCTTCCCCGGGCACTTGAGCAGGGCTGGGTCAGAAGTGGAGCAGCCGGGACTCCGGCAGCGCCCAGCGGGAGGCCGGTGCCGCAGGTGGAGGCTTCGCCTGCACCAGAGCGCCAGTCCCGGGCATACTTCCTTCTCGTTTAAGTTTCATTTTTCTTAACCCAGTACTGTAGACTCACAGTCAGCATTTCACCTTCAATTCTCAGTTTTGTAAATGAAGATCGAGTAGTCAGATAAAATCATTCATTTTCATAATAAATATTTCCTGGTTACTCTTTTCGGCCGTTCACAAGGGAGGGTTGTAGTCGTATGGCATGCTTCTTTAGATGAGCCCAGAGCAGTCATTGTCTCGCCGCAGCTGCTAGGATCGTGCGCCCAGAAAGCTGACGTGGGTAGCACCCTCAGCCCTCAGGCTTCAGTGCCAGCCGCCTGCTGGTGCAGACCAGGGAGGTCGGGGCGGTGGGTCCTGCACCCGGGGGGACACCTGGATTGAGGGCTCAGCTCCCGTGCTGGCTGCAGCCAAGGGCTGTTGCGGGCATCCGGCAGGGGAGCCATCGGACGGGAGTGCTCCCCTCTCTGTCTCTTTCTCAGACCTTACTATAGGAGGCAGAAATTTGGGCAGGCGGGCGGTGCAGCAGCCTCGATGCCACTTGGGACACCTGTGTCCCAGGCAGAGCACCTGGGTTGCAGTCCTGGCTTCGCCCCCTCCAGCTTCCTGGCCGTGTGCACCCTGGGAAGCACACCAGGTGATGATGCAGGTACTTGGGTCCCTGCCGCCCACCTGGGGTGCCTGGATTGACTAATCCAGGTACCCCATGGCATCAAGGAGAGCAGGGCCCCGCGTGGGGAGCAGGAGAGAGCCTGGCTTCCTAAGTGGGGAAGCCGCCGGGCCCGCCCGCGGTGGGAGAGGCTGAGCACGGCAGCTGGCTCTTCCAGGACCTGAGGAGAGCGTTCAGGGCACGTCAGGTAGGAGAGTCTAGAACCGTGAGGCCAGCTGGGCAGCCCGTGCCGTAGGTGATAGCCTGGGTGAGACCAGTGGCCGGGAGCAGAGGGACAGGCATGCTGAAGTCAGAAGCTGGCAGAGGGCCCCACACGGTGGCTTTTAGGGGGAGGGGCCACTGGACCCTAAGGCGGTGGTTGGCAGACTCCTGGAGGCAGTCCTCGGGGTCACGTGGACAGTAGACCGCACAGAGCGCTGAGCAAGAACCGCGGCCAAGTGAAGAAGCGGACGAGGTGCGGGTGGGAGGGACGGGAGGGCAGGGCCTGGCCACGGAGAATCAGCCAATGCCGTTCCCCTGTGAAGACAGCTGCGGCCGGGGGTGGGGGTGTCAGGGCCCCAGGGAGAAGGCCACGGCGGGTGGGCCGCCCCTGCTGAGCTGGAGAATGACTGGAGACGGCCGAGTGGCGCGGGAGCCCCTCCGTAATTAGCTCTGTGACTTCCAGCAGGAAGACGTCATTTATCAAGGCTGGGTGGTGGCAGGGCCGGGCCCACAGCTGAAGGCACAGCATGGAGCTGTGGGGGGCCGGTGGCCCGAGGTTTCTGTGGCTCGTCGCAGCCGAGTCCTTGGCCAGCATGCAGGTGGGGAAGGCGGCCAGGAGGCTGTGATGCCTGGGCCTGCGGGGACCCTCCCCGGGGCGCAGGGCCCTGACCGCACGGTGTCCCCGTAGGCTGGCACATGGGGCCTGTCGGGCCTGGCAGTCTTTCTTGGTGCCCACTTGCTGCCGTGGACAGCGCTGAGCGGCCTTAACCAGGACCTGGGAGAACTGACCAGCTCCTCTCTGGTGGGGACCTGGAGAACTGACCGGCTCCTCTCTGGTGGGACCTGGAGAACTGACCGGCTCCTCTCTGGTGGGACCTGGAGAACTGACTGGCTCCTCTCTGGGGACCTGGAGAACTGACCGGCTCCTCTCTGGTGGGGACCTGGAGAACTGACCAGCTCCCCTCTGGGGACCTGGAGAACTGACCGGCTCCTCTCTGGGGACCTGGAGAACTGACCGGCTCCTCTCTGGTGGGGACCTGGGAGAACTGACCGGCTCCTCTCTGGGGACCTGGAGAACTGACCGGCTCCTCTCTGGTTTGACCTGGGAGAACTGACTGGCTCCTCTCTGGTGGGACCTGGGAGAACTGACCGGCTCCTCTCTGGTGGGAACCTGGAGAACTGACCGGCTCCTCTCTTTAGTCCAAACCAGGTCGCAGAGAAGGTGGCCTCCAGGATTGCCGAAGGCTTCAGCGACACGGCTCTCATCATGGTGAGTCACTTGTTGGCGCTACTTATGGGGTGGGCGTCTCGCCCTCTGTCCTCAGGAGACCCCTGTGGCGTCTGTTGGCCCCTGGGCTGTGGTCCCAGCACAGGGATGGTCCCCGCCCAGCAGTGGTGTCCTAGGACCTTGTTAGAAATGCAGGTCTTCAGGCCCAGCCGCAGACCCCCTTAGAACTCAGCAGTCTGTTTTAACACTGCTTCCAGGTGATTCCGGGACATGTGCCCCTGGGGAGGATGGGCACAGAAGGGGGCCTGGGTGGGTTGCATCGGGGCCTGTGCTTCAGTCTGGATTGGACAGGGGAGGGGGGGGAGGGGTGTGGAGAAGCAGCCAAGTGCCCGGTGTTGACCCTGCAGAAACGCTAGGCCACTCCTTCCTGGAAGGGGTCCCTGGGAGACCCCGGGGGTCGCCTCGGCCCTCCCCGCACTTCCCTCTCGTGTCTGCCCTCGGCTCAGGTGGACAACACCAAGTTTACGATGGACTGCGGAGCACCCACGATCCACGTGTACGAGCACCACGAGAGCAGATGGCGCTGCCGGGACCCACACCAGTGAGTGCCGAGCCTGCCGGGCTGGGCCCGCACCAAGGAGGCGCCCGTCCACCTGGGTTTTAAGTTGGCGTGTTCTCCAGGCACCGTATCATGCCCTTGCCGGACTGCTGGGGGACCAGGGCCTCCCGGGCTGCCGCCCCCGGCCGAGGGCACTTCCCAGAAACCTCCGGTCAGCTGCCCTTGGCCTTCTCACAGTGTCTGCAGAGGGCCAGCTGTGGGTCGGCGCCCGTGTCCACCTTTGGCTCAGAGCTCCCTGTCCCCAGCGCCCGTGGTCTCCTCCACCCCGTGGGCCTCCATGGTTGCTGCACGAGGCTGACTTGTCCGTGTTTGCCCGTAGCGATTACTGCGAAGACTGGCCGGAGGCGCAGAGGATTTCGGCGTCGCTGCTGGACAGCCGCTCCTACGAGACGCTCGTGGACTTCGACAACCACCTGGACGACATCCGCAACGACTGGACAAACCCCGAGATCAACAAAGCCGTCCTGCACCTGTGCTAGGCAGGGCCGTGCGCCGAGCGAGAAGAAGGCCCACTTGTCCATGTAAATAGAGCTCTGGGTGCCAGGAGCAGCGCTGGCGGCTCTGGGAGGTGCCACGTGCCTGGGAAGAGGGCGCGCGTCCCGCCGCGGCTGGAAGATTGGCACGCGTCCAGTCTGACGTCCGCGTGGACCTTCCCCAGCTGTGTGTTGCTCTAATCCTCCACATCAAAGCTCTTCCTGCCTGCCCGCGTTGTTCCTATTAAACAGTTTTAACTAACGTTTTATAATCTGGAGAGAATACTTTTTAAAGCTTATGAACTATCTTTTAAAAAAAAAAAAAAAAGGCCGCATCTTATACTCCACTAAGTGTGTCTGTGAGTTTTTATCCTGGTGAAGTCGTCACACGACGTCCCGGGGGCGGGTGGGCATCTGGGTGGAGCCAGGCCCGGGTCCCAGGAGCTGTGTGCCGGGGTCGCAGCCCCGGACCGCGGTGGAAAGAGCCTTTGTCGTTAAGGTGACGACAGACGTGGGTCGCTGGTGGTGGCAGCTTCGACCGGAGCACGGTGCAGGCTTCCCTGGCAGCCGGAACCTGGCGGAGCTGCGGAGCCCAGAAAGGAGCCCCGGAGCCATGCTGCGCGTGGGCTTGGAGGCAGGTGGGTCCCCCTTCCCTGACCTGCGCGGTCTCCCACAGGGCTTGGTGTGTCGGCCAGGCGACTGTGTCCCCAGAGCAGAGCCAGAGCTCGGACTCGCCGCCCGGCCAGAGCAGTCTGTCTGTGCTTGGAGCCTCTGGGCGAGTTCTCTGCCCGTCTCAGCTGACGGGGAACTCGGTGCCCTGCGTTCTCTCATCTGTGCGGAGTTCCGAGAACCGCGCCCTCCGCCCGGCTCCCGCAGGAGGTGCCGTGCGCTGCCGGGGTTTGGGTGAGAACACGCTTCCCTTGGGAAGCAGGGCGAGTTCAGGTGTGGCTCACCGTGGAGCTGCTTTTACCCACCCAGTTCTCTCCCCTTCTTCAACCGCCTCTCAACTCCCTGTGCTGGCCTGTTCCCCGTGGGGGACACAGGGTGGGTGCTGTGCCAGTGTCCCCAGTCCTGCGCCCGCCCACCCGTAAGCGCCACCACGTTCACAGAGCGTGGCGGGCGGCCCTGTGCCCGTGGCTCAGGTGTCTCAGAAGAATCACCTCCAGCGTCCGGGGCGGAGGGAGGCACGGGTGCCCCTCAGGGCAGGGCCTGGGGAGTGGCGGAGCCCTCTGGGACCCCCGGGACCCCCGCGCTGTGCCGAGTGCCTGCGGGTGGGGGTCGCACAGAGCCGGCCTCCTCCAGTGTGGCTCTGCTGCAGCCAGCCAGAGCGACTGCTCCAGCCGGGGTTCAGGCCTCAGCTTGAAGCACTGTGCCGTGGCGTGGTGCCCTCTGTGGCACGGCCGGTGCTCTGAAGAGCCGCACGCCCAGCCCACTTGCTGCCCGGGAGCTTTGCCCTGTGGCCTCGGGGGCGCCTCTCCCTGCCCCTGAGAGCAGGCTTTCTTTCCCCCGTCTAGGATCCCGGAGCAAGCCTGGGACAGCCTCCTTGTGCTGCCCCTCGGGGAAGACCTAAAGGAGCAACATGAAGCCTGGAGACATCTCCGTCAGGTGTGGGAGCCAGGGGGCGTCCCGGAGCAGCGCTGGCCGCTGACAGGTGAGCAGGGCGAGCGGCTGCCCACGGGTGTGAAACGTCCTTCCATCTCATCCTGGCTTCCCGTGAGGCCTGAGGTGGGCCGACGGCAGTCACTCCGTACGCAGCGACAGGCAGCGCGCTGACCGGGAAGCGCGCCTCGGGCATTCGGATGACGCTAGATTGCTTTAGAGGAGGGAACACGGGAAACCCTGGGCAAAGTGACTCTCGTGTGTGTTTGAGTTGCCTTGGTGTAGAAAGTCCTTGTGTCATTAGCTTTGATTTTTTTCTTAAGATTTGTTTATTTACTTGAAGGAGTTACACAGAGAGAGGGAGAGAGGTCTTCCATCCTTGGTTCACTCCCTAGTTGGCCGCAACGGCTTGAGCTGCGCTGATCCAAAGCCAGAGGAGCCAGGAGCTTCCTCGGGGTCTCCCCCGGGGTGCAGGGCCCAGGCACTCGGGCCACCTTCCATTGCTTTCCCAGGTCACAGCAGGGAGCTGGGTCGGAAGAGGAGCAGCCGGGTCTTGAACCCACATGGGTGCCGGCACTGCAGGTGCAGCGTTACCTGCTACGCCACGGCGCCAGCCGCTCGCTTTATTTTAATGGCTATTTTTCATCTGCTGTCGTGGGGAATTCTCGTTTCTGCACAGTGCGGTTCTCAGCTTTCCACACCGACCTTCTGTGTTTTGCGCCTGGAAGACGTTTGATTGTCTCCAAAACCTCTCCTCCTCACGGCACATGTGTTTCACCAGCTCGCTGGCCTCCGGGCAGAGGGAAGCAAGAAAACTCGCCGTGGGTGGCCACGGGCGGCCGACTCCACACCCTGCCTTCACCATTGCAGAGCCAGGAGCTCAGTGTCAGTCGACTTCCGCTCCCGGCCGACCTCAGCGCGTCTTAGCGTCGGACGCAGGAGCTCGGTGGAAGCCGGTGGGAGAGGCCAGGGCTGCGCTGCCAGCCCCAGGCGTGGCCAGGGAGCACCTGAGCGCTGTGAGGCGCCTGGAGGGCCCTGTCGCTCTGGAAACACACGCAACGTCCTGGAGCAGGAGCCGGCCCTGCCGTGCTGCGGCCTCTGGGGGGGACCGGCCCTCGCAGGCTTCTGCACAGCCGCCGTTGGAGAAGTGACCAGAGCCCGAGGTCTAGCCCAGCTTTGCAGTGGCCGGGCGTCTCGGCTCTGCTGTGCCAAGGAGGCGTCTGCTTGCACTTCGCTACAGGAAACCTCTGCCTCCGGTTTGTTTTTTTAAGATTGATCCGTTTGAAAGGCAGAGTGACACAGGGAGGGAAGAGACAGGCCGCCCACGTGCTTGTTCCTGCCCCCAGCACTGGCAGTGGCCAGGGCTGGCGCCGCGTCTGGTCTCCCCCAAGGGTGGCGGGGACCCGGACACTTGGGCTGTCACCTGCTGTCTCCCAGGCGCGTTAGCAGGGAGCTGGACTGGAAGCAGAGGCGCCGGGATTCAGCCGGCGCTCGGATGCAGGACGCAGGACGCAGGCAGTCCGGGCGGCAGCCTGACCCGCAGTCCACAGCGCCCGTTCCTGAGTCAGCATGAAACAGTGTGCGTACTCAGCACCGGCTGACCAGACTGCGGACCCCGCCAGTCACCTGTGAGAGCTGCATCTCGGGACGCTCGTGACGCGGTACTCAGCACCCGGGGAGGGCCCAGGAGCCGCTCCGTGCGCTTCCTTGACCCCAGGAGCCTGGAATTCCGCCAGAGCCAAGAAACGGGCGGAGAGGCAGAGACAGGGACGCGCTGTCCGCTGATGTCACTCCCCAGATGGCCTGCAGGAGCTGGGTCTTGCCGAAGCCAGCCAGGAGCCGGCGCCGCGAGCTGGGTCTCGGATTGAGCTGGCAAGGGCCAGACACGTGTGCCGTCACCTGCTGCCTCCCCAGCTGTGCGTTAGCAGGGAGCTGGAATTGGACGGAACCAGGACTCCAACCTCGGAGCTCGGCGTGAGGGACCAGGCGCACCAGTGCCCACGGCTCTCTGCTCACCTGAACTGCGTCTCGCTGCTTCCTTGCCCGCCGTGTTCTTGCTACCATCCCGAGGGCTCGCAGGCGCTCTAAACCCCTGTCAAATAGCACCGCTGTTTTGGGGCAGCGCGGCGTCTGGGAACAGGAGGACTCCATCTCCCCCTCCTCCCCAAACGCAACCGCCGACACCCAGGCCGTCGGCACTTTGATTTTCAGTGAGCACTTACCTGTTAGGGAAGCAGGACTACCCGCGAAGTTCTGTCGGGCGGGGGAGCCTGGAAGACGGGCCCTGCGGGTGCAGCGCGCGCCCCCGGGCCCCGGGCCCCTCCAGACCCTGTCCTCTGCACCCACTCGCCACTGGCAGAGCACTGGGGGCTTCTCCGAGCTGGACGCGTTTAGAAAGGATCCGGCTGCTTCCGCAGCACCTCGTCCCTGCGCGCGGGA